ACTGTTTTCCGATTAGTGAAGATCTCTCTTGCTTTCCTGATCGAAACTGACCCCGGATATCGTCATTTGTACCTCCTGTAGTTGAAACGATGCTGCCTAGATACGAGAGATAGGTGACTTCCTTTAGATTTCTCCTGCTGATGGTAATTGGTGTTTGTTCTTGTTGGTTAGGTATCTTCATCACCTCTATCTTCTCTATGTTCACTTGCAGTCCTATCTTCACTTCCTACCTGTTCTGATAACTTGGTTTTCGCTTGTAGATCTTTGAGCTTGTATGACACTAGACGTAAATCGTCCGCGAGGTTCAAATCTTGTAAAGTCTTCTTGTTGTCCCAGCGTATTGCTGTCTTTTCTCTCCAGACGACCTGGCGCATGCATGGTCTAGTCCACCACAAACAGGAATATCATTGGTGATAGTAGGCAGCCTTGTCTTACTTCTATCTTCGCTTCAAAGGCTTCACTGAGTTTTCCGTTGTGAATCACTTGACATGTGGCGTCTTCATATATATATATATATATATATATATATTTCTTGCTATGAAAAATACAAGTGAAATAGGTAATGACATGTTGTTTTACGCAACTTGTTTTTATAGTTAAGATAAATTTATATCCATTTTCTATGACAGTTTGAGCTTACTTACAAACTTTTGTTGATCGGTGGGAAAGTCGAGGCAGTAAGCTTAATACACTAATAATAATTAGCGCTTATCATCTTAAACTGTGTCAGCTAAGTTAGATTGTTAATGACATCGACTATAAACGAGTGGATTGTTCGTCTACTGCTTAGTCAGCATGCTTGATTACTGGTTTTGTGTAGTTTTCATCTCCCCACAAGAGTCAATGATATGTACTGAAAACTAGTTTTCTTTTTCAAATCAATTGATAAGCTTGCTTAATGGACATTAACCTTTAACTTTTTCTGTCAAAAAAAAAGTAATAAATCGTTATTGCTTGTCACTTGGCTTAGTGACCCCACATTCAACGCTTAATCAACAGATTATATATGAATATGAAAACCTAAGACCACGCCACTCAATAAACAAGGCGGCCTTAATTTCACAATCACAAGCTTTCTAGTTTCTTTAGTGACACTTTCTTTTTCCCCCTCCTTTCTCTAGTACTGAATAGTACATAAATCAGAAATATCTTTATTAATTCATTTCTGAAAACAAAACATGTAGTTCAGTGGGGGAGGCTGTTTTCGATGAAATCATTTTCTTTAGATATACAATCGCATTTATGTACATTTTTGTCATGGAAGAAGGCAGTAACAAAAGTGATTTTTTTTATTCCTTCACGTTCCCAGTGGAACATAGGGCTTCAAGCTACAGGCTTGAAGTTTCTGTAGCAGTGTTTATTTTTACAGGATGAGGCTGCTAGCCTCATGCCCAACCTTTCCTCTTTACCAGCTTTTTTATCACTGGCTTAGTGAGGTAAAGGAGTGCGTTGGCCGGGGATAGAACTTCGGACCATATGCATGGTTGGCAAGCGTACTAACTGCTTTGCCGCCGACGCGATTTCCCTTTAGTTTGTTTATTTGTTCTAACTCCTTATAACTCTTGTATTTATTTAGAACTCTTACATATTTACACATTTTCCTTAGTTTCTATGTACATCCTGATTACAGCTCATTCATTAAATTATTCATCTGATTATGTAACTCTAATACACTTATTGAATTCGTACTCTTATGCATTGACTGATATTAATAACTATGATTGCAACAACTCATCACTTTTGTTGTGCGTCGGTGGCACAGCGGTTAGTACACTCGCCGAACATGCACATGGTTCGAAGTTCTATCCCCGGCCAACGCACTCCTTTACCTCACTAAGCCAGTGGTAAAAAAGCTGGTAAAGAGGAAAGGTTGGGCATGAGGCTAGCAACCTCATCCTGTAAAAATAAACACTGCTACAGAAACTTCAAGCCTGTAGCTTGAAGCCCTATGTTCCACTGGGAACGTGAAGGAATAAAAAAAGGAAATTAATGAAAATCAACATGGTTGCTACCATGATAGTAGAAGTGGTTGAATAATTCTCATTTGTATGTATAGTTCCTGTTTCTCTAACTGAATGGCTGAAGCTTCAGCATTGCAAAGGAGACGAAGAATTTTACCTTTAGCAGGTCGCTCCTCACTTCGTAGATTACTTTGAAGAAGGTGTTTGTCGAGATGAAATGGTCAGTGTTGACAAGGTCTTTGATTATCGCACTCCTAATAGAGACGCTGTTGTCTTCCTGCAATCATGCAGGATAATTTTCTTGAACCGTTTTAAACAGGATACACGTTGAACGACCAATGCATCTGGTTCCAAAAGAACAGGTGAATTTATATATGCACATAGAAGTGGTCAGATGCGAGACATTGTTCTTTAGCCTTCTGCAGACCAATAGACGACTGGAGAACACTACTCTTAGCGTTGCTGAGAAGAATGTTTCCCTCAAAGACGATGAAATTCTTCTCTGAAGGATATCGCAAGTCAAGTCTCCCTTGAAATCCAGGTTCATGTAAAGTTTCTGTTTTGCAACAAGTAATGTTTCATTCCTCTGAACTTTCTGTTAACAGCTTCTCTTTTGCATGAAAACGCAGAAGTTTAGAGATTGATATTAAGTCATTGACTGCAACAAACGTACTGGTATATTAGATTTTCAGTACCCATGTCAAACTGCCAGAAAAAGCCTAAACTAGCTTTAACCGTTACGTGGTATTCAGAATGCACCATGTTGTTATTCTTTGAGAGGTACTCTTATCTTTTCTTGCTTTGTGTGCTTGGGGACCTGTGGGTCTTTCCCTTAAACTTTAATTCGTCTAAGTTTTTCATTTCATTTCACAAAAACAGTTAAGCGATTCCATGTACTTATGTACAATAAGTTGAATGTATTGTGAAATACACGTGTGTGGAATTAGCTGTTGTATTCCGATATTTTACATATCCTTATAAACTTTATTCATTGATTTGAAAAAAAACACCAACATTTTATTATACTTGTGATTGAATACCGTTCATGTGCTAGTTTTATTTTGTTTTGTTTTTGTTATGCATATATTTGTATCATCTGAATTTTGGTCTTCGCAATCCTACCCTTTCCTTTATTTTCGTTTCATGGAACCTTGTTTAGGCCTATTTATATTCTCATGACGAATTTAAATAGCCGTTTCTCGCGTTTCTTGTGTCATAGTTTGCTTCTTCATTTTCCTCACCCTTTTGCAAGACTGGCTTTCTGTTATATTTATAAAAAAAAATTTATTTGATCAACTTATCTGGTCGGAAAACGAATCTTCCTGAGTGTAGTATTCACCTGTATTTCCAGGTGACCGTTGTTTCCTCCAAGGATATAATTTATTCGTTTTGTTTATTGTAGTTGGACTAAATGCTCTTGATGAAGTATCTTCTGAGACACCATTCTTATTAGCTGCTGTAACAGATATGCCCGATGTTTTGCATGGTATTTGCTGCTTAACTCCAATTCTAATACCAACCGATGTCACATTGCTTACTACCAGTAGTAATTCATGATTTAGTAGATCTTAGTGCTCAATTCTTGCAGATGATATTGCATTTACATTCAAGTTTATGTTAGCCAATTCAGCATTTCACATTCCGAGGTCATAGGGTTAGCGTAGTCGATCTCATACGAAGTCCTGGTATGACTTCCTTCGGCGCCTCTCCTTTAGTAGGTTTGTACCATAATGGAGAAGAGATTGAATGGGTTCCTTCTGCATAAAAGAAGTGCAAGAACTCTACCCTACTTAGTTAAAAAGATTTAAAAGCGGATCTATTGTTAGTGGCACAATTAAACATCTTGTCAGTATTTGATCATTCCATCTTACCCACCTATTCCTGTATAGTTATGTACAAGGCAAAACACTGAAAAGTTTTAGCCATCAAAATAGATGAACTGGAGGTTTATTTACATTATAGACCTGTTCAACCTCTTCTCCTTTCATTGTCTTAATCCTTTGATTTTGGAAAGTCTATTTGTTAGCTGTGTGTCGTAATCAATACAATAAGTCACATAACTTCGCCTCGCTCTATGGTGGATTGTAATTTATCACTGCTTAGACCACATAGATGCATACCACTATGATGCGTCATTTGTCCCGATTACTTCATTAAGAGAGTCACGTAACTGTCAAATAGTCCATAACCTAATCTTCTGGGTTGTGCAGTGAATATCATCATTATTACGTATGTAATACAGAACTCTATCGTCAAGAAACGCAAATTAGCCGACACCTCCGTTTCATCTTCAGTTATTTGCAGCCACGTCACAGTGTCATCTAAATTATTTTTTTCATTTGATAAGCTATCGAAAGATACTTAATAGGCGTCAACAATTCCTTTGAACCTACCTCCTCCTTTCACATTATAAATAACACAATGATATTCACCACATGTAAAGCTTATAAACTTTTATTGACTACTCATTTAAAAAAAATATTTGCTGCATTTTTGCTACGTTATAAGAATAGATTCTAAGTTAATCTGTAATGGTATACATTTTGTGTGTATCGGTGGCGCAGAAGTGGAGTGCTCACCAACTACTCACGTGATCCGGAGTTCAATCCCCAGCCGACTCATGCTCGAACCCCGCTTTGCCGGTAATAAGCCAGACAAAGAGGGAAAATTGGGTATGAGACTAGCAACTCCGCCACGTAAAAACAAAAGCACTGCTACCGAAACTTCAAAGTTCAAGCTGGAAGCCCGATGTTCCGCTGGGAACGCAAAGAAACATATATATATATATATATATCGTAAGAAAGGGTGTTTTCGATAAGTGCTTGATATCTTTGAGAGAAAATAATATTTTTTTAGTAGTAGTTCTTTTAGAGATTATTATTCCTGTTGTAATGCTCACACACACATTTTGTAACTGTTACATTGTAGTGTCCCCTTAAAATAGTAAATAATAATCCGTACAAAAGAGTCCTGTTTCTAATTGTGATCAGTTTTTAATTTTGTTTTTGTTGAACTTTTTTGTTGTTTTTTGTTTTGAAGATCATTACCAATTTAGCGTCAGTATTTCTCGGTGAATCTGATATAGCTGGTTCAACAGCAAGTCTAGTTGAACTTGAACGTGCCTATTCAGTAACTTCTTTCGGATCAGAAGATCACAATTCATCTAGTCAACAACTAAGAAAATATGACCGCGTGTCTACAGGAGCTAGTGAAAGACCGTTGAGTGCAGATGCAGATGTTTTGTTAACTGGTGTTACTAAAATGAAGAAAAATGATAAAACAAATAGTTATTCAAATTTACATCATGGTATACCAAGTCGAATGACTACTTCACACTATACACCTGGACGACCCTCGAGTGAGTATACGAATAAACCACGTGGATCTTTAGGAAATGCATTTGGTGGTGGTGGTGCTGGTGGTGGTGGTCATACAAGAGTGAAAAATTATCGAATTGATCCTAATCAAAATCCTGATTGTATTGGTAGTGCTATTCAACCACCGTCTCCTGATGTTCTGCTTGCTTTGTTTGACTTGGTCAATAAACTTCTAGTACCTTATGTAAGTGTTGCATTATTTCACAATTTTTGTTTTTGATTTTTTTTAAACTTTATTTCGTTTAGTTTTTATGATGTAAGTGTGTTAGTGGCTATTCGAACAGTCTTTCAGCAGATGGCATTTAAAGTTATTATTGATCTCTCGCTTCTGCCTTTTTATAAAAATTACCATATTAGTGTTAAAAATCCTCTAAGGAATATTTCGCTTTAGTAACGATCCATGTACCTTTTGTACTTGAATGAAATACAAAATATGGCGAATTATGATAAATAAGACTAATTAATGTTGTCCCATCGAAGTAAGTCCTAGCTTTAAATGATTGTAGGTGGTCAACAGGCACCTCCTCTTGATCTAGAGTTCGTGCTTATTGGGACTTGTCAGGAAGGCAATTTCTGTAATCTTGAGAGAAGTGATATCCTCTCACAGAGATTTTTACTTGAATCAACTTAATGCTGGAGACAGCTTATTATTAGTGAGGTTTTTTAGGGTGATGATCAACCTTTTGTAGGACTGATTTTGATGCATTATTTGGTCATTTGAGAGTAAGCAATATCAAGTTGCCCAGTCCTCTTAGTGCTAACCGATTACTTTCGACCAAGTTTACAGTGTGCTCACAAAACTTGGATATCCAGTGACACTAATCTGTCTTTCTCCTGCTTTATACTTGTGAGAATTGACCACTGACGTATGACGACGACGAAAAAGGAGAATAGGTTTATGATGAAGTAGTCAAGATTAGTCCATCAATTAATGAGCTGGTTTTGTGGCATGTGTTGCAAGTATTAAATCGCCTCTTTCTCAATATGCACACTGCTAGCCGAATTATGATTGGGCTAGATGATGTTAGGAATGATCAGACCAAAACACCCCATGAATCCATGATGTCTATACCTGTTTGTTTGAGTCATTTTGTATACCTTACTAGGGTAAGTTACAGGTTCCTGGATATTTAATGAGTCTGTTATTGACAACTCTTGGTGATACAAGTGAAAGTTCAATTCATTCTGCAGTATCACAGAAAAGATCTGTGATCTAAGCCACTGAAGAAAGTTATCAGTATCAGAAGTGATACAATTTTGAATAAAGCAAGAACAACAGTGGTTTGTGCAGAATAAGATGGTACCATGACTCATTTTGTTGGCTTCTCATCAGCTGCTTACAGCCTAAAGATATTATTAGGTTCATGTACAGAACAATTTTTAACATACTTGCAAATTTTACATGATGTCAGTTGACAGGAGGCTCCAAACTTAACGAACAGTGCTCAGAAAATTACGCTTACATATTTTTACCCAAGAGTTCAAATTTAAGCAAAAATCAATGTATGTATACAGTGGCAAAGAAGTTACGTAGCTGAAGACAAGAGGTGAGTAACAATATACTGAGTTCAACTCAAATCGTGGAAACAAGAGGCAAGCAAAGTTACACTTATATCAAACGGGGTCGAGGTTGAAGCCAAAGATTGCGTAATCACATGAAAGAAAGAAAAAAGTAAAGACATCCAGTTACCAGGTTGGCAAGGAAAGACTGATAACTGCTTCTTTCTGAACATATAAAAATAGGATTTCAAGAGTTTCGGGAAACTTGAGAAGAATTGAGCTATTTTGTGTACTGATAGTGTTAAAGGATTTTCCAATGACTCGTATCAAGCAGATGCCTGGTAATAGGACTATTGAAAGCGCTTGTTCCCTTGAGATGTGTAGGCTTTTTGGCCCTTTTTGTAAATTTTTAACATCATAACTACTGTGTTGTGTCTGCTATGCCTCTTTAAATAGTGAATATTTGGAATTGTTATGATTTGCCGTCTTTAAATATACCAATTATTATTATTATTATTATTTTTTATGCTACAATATATAAAACCATACACTCCTTATTTAATTTAAATTGAAGGCTAAATAAAGTAAGTTGTGTTGTGTCTCACTCATCTGAGTATTACTACTCCTTTTTTTTCATTCTGTCTTTTACTTTGGATTAATTTTGCTACAGAAGAGATTACACGCGTACACATGCACACACACACACATAACTAACACAAATACACACAGACAAAGACACACTCACACATTACATACATATTCTTTAAAGTGTACAGAGTGATCAGAATTCTCTCAAAATGCGTTAGTTTAGTTAACCATTATACACTGACTACGTGTAATCTTTCATTATAATCACTTGGTGACAGACTGAAAATACTAATTAATTAATTAATTAATATTTCTGTGTATGTATAAATTAACCTGATATTTGTGCTCTAACAAAATGTGAAAATGAGTGTTCACTAATACTACTTGGTCAGTTGTTTAAAATAACTTTTATTCCATTTCTGTACATAATAACACACTATATTGCGTATAAGCAAAACTATTTATCAATAATGCAGCTTACTAAATACGTATATGCAACACATATATTTACGACATTGTACTACTACTAACTAGTCTTATGGAGCTTGTCACTCATATTCTTAAATGCTGTCAGGTGAAGGTGGATCTGTTATTACCCTAGGATAGATAAAGTCAACTGCTTTAACTCATGACCTATAACTAACTGTACAAAAACGGAACACACTGTATGTAAATTCGATATTCCTCTTCTTTCATTTGAAGTCGTTTACGAGGTTTTGTTTTCAGTCTTTGGCGGCTAAGATTATATCGCCTCCCTTTTTTAACCGTCCTGTCATGAAATATGTTCATACTTTCTGTAGGCTTTTGAGTTGTCTTCACTAGCCGAAGAGGCTTTTTTGTTTGCGATAAAACAAATTATGAAATTATAAGGGGTGATTGGTATTTCTTGTAGGTGTAAGAAATTAACCCAATCCATTTTTGTCTCCAAACACAATCATTAATTTTAGAACCATTGGAAGCCAAGGTGTACTGGGCGGCAGTTTCTTCCTAATTTGGGACTCATCGGCAGTACACACCCACTGGGGTTCGAACCCAGGACATTCTGGTTACAAGCCAAGCCCACTACTACTGATGAGTCTCAGGCTAGGACGAAACAGATATCCGTGGTCAAATTTGAAATAAATCAAATACCTACAAAATAACTCTTGATAATCATTAATAGTTTTCTCGTAATTGTGGTAGCAATAATATTAGTAATAGTAGATTGGTAGTTTAGTTTTCTGTCTTTTGGGCCTAATATAGAAATACTGTTTTGATGCTGTCGCCAGAATATATTATGATGACTTGATACTGGGTTGTGGCCTTCGTCCAACTTGACTAGAATGCGCCTCCAGTTCACGACACTATAACCAACTAATCGCTTGAAATTATCTCCCACACTGAAAATGACTCAAAAGTGAGTCTGGGAAAAACGATGACTGGAACTACAGTAGTATTGATTAGACAAAATACATGGGATGTCATATTGACAAAACCTCGTAGGCGACGGATTGTGAATTACGAAAATGTCGTTTTGCACCTGAAATACTTCGACATACAACAATCGCTTATAATCAATTCACTCTGCCGAAAAGGTAGAAGGAAAAGTACTCTAAATAGAAGGTTTTCTTCACTCTAAGAAGAAAATTATTAGTTGAAAATGTCTCTATAACTCAGACAAACTACATTCTTTAACTATGGACTAATGAAATATTAATGATAAGACCTTTAATTCTAAATTAGAAACAAATATGCGGTGGATAACTTTGGTCATCAACATATATTTCTACTCTGTGGAAGAGTCAGCCCAGAGTCGCCTCATTCATTGTTAATTAACTGGGTTGGGGACATGATGCTAAGTGAACCGTTAAATGACCACCTACCACAGTAACATCTGTTGTTAGCTAAACTATAAGTGAATAAAAGAATAGTAGATAAGTGTGCAATCAAGGTCGATGATTTCATGAAAGGTTCATATGCAACTACCTATCTATATCTATCTATCTCAACTTCATCGACTTTGAAAAGGCCTTCGACAGCGTCGATCGAGAGGTGATTTGGGAACTACTTCGCTTCTGCGGGGTGCCACTGACAATTATAAATCTCATCCAACAGTTGTACGACAATGCTGCATGCCAAGTAATTCACAACGGGAAACTCACGGAATCCTTCGAAGTGAGGACAGGAGTAAGGCAAGGCTGCCTACTATCTCCAATGATTTTCCTGATTCCAGTAGATTATATAATGCAACAGACAGCGGGCAATGAGGAAACAGGCATAAAATGCACTCACACAAAAAACTTGGAGGATCTGGACTTCGCCGATGATATATGTCTGATTTCCCACAAACTGGAAGATGCAAGCAAAAAACAACATCTGGGAAGCATCGTTTCAACTACAGGCGGAACTGATGACGATATAAAAGCAAGAATAGGAAAAGCAAGACAAGCTTTCATTTCCCTCAAGTCTGTGTGGAGGTCAACAACACTTAGCATGAAAAACAGGATGCTGATTTTCAACTCCAATGTGAAGTCAGTGCTGCTATACGGATCAGAGACTTGGCGTGTCATAGAGAGCATCTCAAACAAACTACAGACCTTCATTAACAGTTGTCTTCGCTCAATACTCAAGATCAAATGGCTGGCCAGAAAAGATCAGCAACAGAGATCTCTGGCAATGAGCGAACCAACCAGGAACCAATTGTGAAACAAATAGGCAGGAAGAAATGGAGATGGATTGGCCATACTCTGAGGAAACCATCAAGTGAACATCACACGTCAGGCCTGCTCGAGTGGAACCCGAAAGGGAAGCGGCGAGTTGGTCGTCCAAGGGTGACTTGAAGGAGGTGATGTGAAGGGAAGATGAAAGCATGTGGGCAGACGTGGAGCCAGGTGAAAACTCTGGCAGCGAACCGAACGCAATGGAGACGCACAGCTGAAGCCCTATGTTCCTCTAGGAATTAAAGGAAATAATAATGATATAATAATACTAACAATCATATGCAACTTTAAAACATCTAAGCTTTGAACCAGTCTTCTTCTTCTTCTGCATCCCTTGAGTTCTGAGTGGCACATAAGGCTTTTAAGCTTTTGAAGATGCAATAGACGTGTTTGTTTATGCTTTGAAGCAATGGTTATTGATTATTTCTATAGCTGACATTTTAAATGGCTAAATGAAGTTGTGTGTGTGTGTGTGTTTTATTATCATTCTTGGCCTCTGTTATTGGCGTCTCTTTATTTCTGATTCTATTTTATCCATAGTCCTATTTATATGGATATAATGCTCTGAAGCTTCTTTTTTTATTTTAGTCTGTTGTTACTCTTCTTCGAGATTCTCTTCATTCTGTTTATTATTTTTTACAAAGTAACAAAGATACTACTCGTAATTTTGCTCTGTAATTTATCTTTCTGGATTTGAATGACTGTATTTTATTGTTTAAAATCTTTCCCAGTATAGACGATAGTAAGCGGTATACAGTTTAGTTTTGCCAACAAATTATGAATGCGTTGGTGGCACAGCCGTAGAATGCTTGCCAACCACGCATGTGGTCCAGGGTTCGATCCCCGGCCGACGCACTCCTTTACCTCGCTAAGCCAATAGTAAGACTGGTAAAGAGGGAAGGTTGGACATGAGGCTAGCAACCCCATCCCGTAAAAATAAACATCACTGCTACCGAAACTTCAAGCCTGTAGCTTGAAGCCCTATGTTTCACTGGGAACGTACCAGCTTTACCTTCTAATCCTTACTATCACCTTTATCCTTATCTGGACTGAAGTGAACGAGAGCATCATGTTGAGTTAATGCAATTGTGTTAAATTCATTATGATCTATGAAAATCTTTTGTATTCTTATATTCTATATTTCATAGAAAAGGTAGAAGGCTTCTTCACTCTCTAGAATTACACCTTAAGAGTTTGTAAAAGATGTAGTGACATTTTGTGTCAAGCCACCGCTTTCCTCATCGAGCAATGCTATCTGACATAGGATCAGGTTTTAAAAGAGCCAGTAGTAGTGGTTAAACCAAAGCCTATCATTGGTCCATAAAGTCTTTGAAAGTTGACTTACAGCTAGCCATTTAGGGAAGTGTAGATTGCCTGGTTGTGGACCTGAGGATGCTAAAAACCAAATGACTCGAAACTATTGGAGACTGCAACTCAAAATCATTCTCAGTGGCTTGAATGCATTCACTCTTTTTTGATCTTGCATATTCATTAAACCCCTTTTTTTCTTACTCTCACTTTTGAATCTCTACTTTCTCTACTTTTGTGTGCTAGGTGGAGTGTGGTAACTTAAATTGGCGCACTTTTGTGCAGAGTTCTATATTGGAGCTCAGTTAGTTAGTTAGAGATATTTTTCAGTGATGACTACGAAACCGTTCTGATTTGCTATTTATCACTGAACATTAATGAAAAATCATAGTAGCAGTGTTTCGTGACGTGAATGTTGACATGTGCATATGAGTTGTAATATAGGAAATGTAGTACTGTATAGTTTTTATTTGATTCCACATTACAACTTGTTCACTCAGATATTCATGTAATTAAAATAGGGTAATCACTGAGAAATGTTTCTTATTCAGTGGAACTAGTATTTTAATTTTTCTTTTCTGTCGAATTTTGGAAATGTACTGTTGCCATAATCTTATCTGACCCACTTTGGGACTTTACAAATATGCACAACCATCACTGAATCAGAGATTGAACTAGGTGTTAGAGTAGAAACACGTTTATCATTCACCTATTTGGTTAAAAGTCTTACTATTATTCCAACAAGTCATGACTTCCCATTAGATCTCCAGGAGATCAATGAGTGCTAAGCTAATTTGGGTTTTTGGGAATTTCTTTAATTTCACCTTTGTTGTGCACTCCTTAATAAGAGACCCAGACAAGGTTGAAACAGCTGTTGAGTACTCAATGTTATTCAATAGCTTTATATTTAATGTAATTTCATGTCACGATTTATCTTTAAGTCAATTGGACTCCAATAAATCATAGATTTGAAAACTGTGTGCCTTCTG